GGGGCTCTGGGGAAATATTAAGGGTCTAAACAGACCTCTGATATTACCCTTTTGAAATAGAAAAAGAGATTGAGAACACAGTCCTCAATCTCTTTTTGTGCAGCCTGTTATGAATGAACGGGAAATCTCTATACTGAGTGATCCTGTCCATTCATAAATTGTGTATATAGTATGAGTTACTAAGTCCACAATCATGAATGAACAGGAAGTGATGTAGAGCAAAGTAGACATACTATGTCCTCATTTACAAGCACTCAGCTGGTCGTTGAGTGCTTGTAACCGCTCTCCATCCAGACTACTTTAGCTGCCACAGTAGGCCGAGCCAGCAGTGCGGGGAGGAGCGCTCAGCCTCTTGTGACACCATTGACAGCTGACTCCGACCCGGTTCAGTCTCCTGTGACAGCTGTTGTCTCCTTGCACCACTCTCTATCCAGATTTATTGTCACACGAGGCCGAGCGGGAGAAGAGCTCAGCCTCAAGTAACACCAACCAGACTGTGATCTCCTCCCTGAACGCTGCTCTGTGACAGAGGGGACACACAGAGGAGCGCCCAAGCGAGGAGAGAAACTATGGGATTGGCCAAAGTACCATTTTTGGCTGATATGTTTCGGCTGCTTACATTTCAGTGCATCCCTAATACATATCTAATGTATGTGTTGGATGCTATTAGATTTTTCTACAATTGAATTTTGCCTCAGCATAAAAAAGGTTTTAAATCCGTTTACATGCATTTTTAAACATTTGTCAAGGAAACAAAGATAATAAATTAAGCTATGGACCTAAAGTTGGCCAAAGAAGAAACTGCCATATTTGTCCAGAGTGTTGAGCTGATCACTTGTAGTTGGTGTGTTTTCTCAGTCCCCTCAGCCAGGCTAACATGGGAGGTCAGATGCCCGCTCAAATCCCATGGTAGTGGTTTGCTGCTGTTCATAAGAACTTCACAGAAGCATTTGGAGAACACAGCTCTACTTAACATGGCAGGACCCTAAAAAAAGAAAATATGTACATGAAAAATTCTTCATTAAGATTCAGAAATTCTTACAACTGAAAGGCAGAAAATACAGCTAAATAGAAAGTTTAACATATGAACTGCCTAATTTGCCAAATGATTTGTCATTTTGTCCAGCCCCTTGTATGCTTCACACACCTCTGCCAGACGGCACAGCAAGGAGGGTGACATAACTGTCAGAGTTAGGGCTTGTTCCGCATTCTGGTAGGGCAATCGCACTGTGGGCGTGGCTGCAGTGCCATTGACTTGAATGCACCGCCATGCCCCCTCCCAGCCCAGAACGCAGGGAGAGTTGGAAGGCACTAGAAAAGGTATGAACAAGCCCTTAGGGCTTGTTCACACAACGTCCGGATTCTGTCCGGACCAGATCCGTGCGCTCATGCACCCAAAATGCATCCCAATGTATCCCTATGTGTTTTATGGGCTACAGTTCTCACGAGCACAGTGCGTTCCGGTCAGGACAGAGAAAATACTGCATGTCACATTTTGTCCGGTCACGGTCCGGAAAAGCAAAACACATCAAAAACGCAATGCAGCTAACATACTGACAGCAAAAAAAAAGAAAAGAAAAACTGGAATGGGTCAAAAACGCATAGCACCGCGTCTGCAGACCTGCTCCAGATCTGGTCCGGGCAACGTGAGAACAAGCCCTTATGGAATATAGTAGTGTAACCTTTACACCTGCAGACAAACAGCAACTACACACTAATAGGTCATCAACTCGACTTACTCCTCCCTCTCCTAGCCCGAGTTCTGCTCTGTGTGGATGACAGGGGAGGATATTAAAAGACAGATCCAGATACTAACACAAGTTGTAGTAATTAGTACTTGTAAGGTAAAACTAAATTGTGTTTTTCTTTTTTAAAACCCGTCTGCACCCCCTTGGCTTAACTATGAAATGCCCTACAAAACAAGTACAAAGAGGAAAATAAATGCAGAATAAGTCTATTTTACCTTCACAGAAGGTTCCAGAAGAACATGAGTGGTACTTTCACCTGGAGGTGGAACTGGTTTCCAGGATGACCAGTAATCTGGATCAGTGCTCACAGTACTATTCCAGAAAGATGAAAATACGCTGCATATAAGCTCTGACCATAGCAATGCAACATCCCCGGAACTAATCTGTAAAAAGAGACCATTATTAAGAAAAGACTAATCTGAAAGATAACAATTTTAGATTTTTCTTTAATGCTTTAAATGGCCAGTTTAAACATGTACTGACCTTTTACAATGTTAACTGCCTGCAGAATATTAACTCAGTCTACCGTGCTTTCACATACCTTCTGTTATATTCGAGAGAACCCCAGGAGCTCAGAAACATATAGGAGGGAATTTTTCAAAACTGGAGCAGACAAAATCTGGAGCAGTTGCCCATAGTAACCAATCAGCCTCTCTGTTCAGTTAAGCTTTGAAAATGATAGAAGCTGATGGTTACTACGGGCAACTGCTCCAGTTTTGATAAATTCCCCTAATTGTGCTTTATTAGGAATGTATCAATATCAGTTAGAATGCCAGATCTCTAGCCCGATTGCAGCTGCATCTCCTGCCACACTACTAGCCAGTGAAGCCAGTAACAAACAGAAAGGCACGGACTGCAAGCAGGCAAACGTTTAGAGGAAAATGTAATTTAATATACAGTTCACCACCATTGACCTCCATTAAAAATCTTGCTGCCCCACTGTTATGTTGGTATAAGTCAGAAGTACTGCATGTGATGGTAATTAGGTCTGGGCACTCCTAAAACTCAGTCAGAAAACACTGTGGCACCCTTATTTTGTAAACATTTTCCAATCTGCAACATACATTTTAAAGAACTCTGGGAAGAATAAAACTTAACCCTTGCAGTGCAGACAGCAAGGGTTAAGTACTTGTTTTCAACTAGGGTCTAAAACAACAGATATACTCACACGAACCTCTGTCCCACCTGGCTGCTAGACTGGGCCCTGCAGCTTCTCTCCTTCTCCGCCCTGGCAATTTAAAGTCCCTGTGTCCTCACAAGTATTAGACATGGCTACTCACGGATCCTTAGACTGCTGGAACCCATGTGGGGGAGGTGATGTAGGGACCGGTCTAGATTAGATGAAAACGAGCACTTAACTCATGCAGTATAGGGGTAGTCCCACCGCAAGGGTTAAGTTTTACTCTGCCTAGAGTTCACCTTTAAATCTTTTGTCTAGGGTCAATAGAGAATTTGCACATTCCATACACCCCTACCAGTACACAGTCAAAGCCTAGAGACAACTTGAAACAAAAAAACATTTAAATTGAGTAAACAATTCAGGAAACTTCAGAACTTCCATTAAACCTCTTAATGGCCAGAGCACTAATAGCTCATCCACTGGCAGGCCATAACACTCTAGCACATGTTTTAATTGATGTTGTAAAGCCATTTAGGGACAATCCACATATTAGTCTAAGTCAGATGCCTTGAAAGTGCCCTGTTCAGACTTCTATCTTCCAAAATCCAGAGCACTACATGAACAAGAATATATTCAAATGTATCAGAAAATACTGGTCACATACATGTCACGCACCAGTCTTGACATACAGAAGGCTAATAGCACTCATTGCCCCGGCTGAGGAAGCCATATATCAGAATAATATCAAGTTTGGTTTCTAAAAAATTGCAATTTCTTGCTACACAATAATATATGGGCTATGAGATCGTAACATAATTGGGGACACAATAAACATACTACGTCCTCAATTAATTACAAGCATTCAGCAATCAGTCCTGATCGCTGAGAGCTTGTAACACGCTCTCCATCCTGAATCACTGTAACAGGAGGCTGAGCCTGGCCTCTTGAGGCATGGCTGATAGCCGACTCCTCACACACACTAACAGGCCCAGCCTCCTGCGACAGCTGTCTCCTCTCCGCACTGCTCTCCATCCTGGCCAATCAGCATCGAGCCAGCCAAACATGGAGCCAGCTTTATGGGAAATCAGGAAGCCGGGCAGCGTCTCATTACCCGCTGCCCGGCTTCCTGATTGCCCAGGAGAACGGCTCCATGCCAGCAGAAGCACACTGGTATCGGTACTGACAGCAAAATATCGGTACTCGATACCGAAAGACCTGAATTGGTGCATCCCTAATATTCAGTGAGAGACCGTTTTGAATAGTCAAGACAATTTTTTTTTTATTCAACACCAAGGGTTTATGCATTACATGCATCCTTTATGTTATACCTTTCTTTATGTTATACCTTTCTTTACTAGTTAAGTAAAAATAGAAAGTATGGTTTGTGCAGGAAGCGCAACACTACCTCAGAACGCTGAATTAGAAAGTTGAAAGCTCGAAGATGCTGGGAAGGTATTGAGGTTTGTTTCAAACAAAATGACACCAGCTGATTCAAGTCCGACTGCATGTTCTTTCTGATGAAGCAAAACAATTTAAATGAATAAATGCTACAAAGTTTTAACATACCATGCATAAAAATGAGAAAGAAGCATCTCTTATTACCTTACATAATAAGAATGTGACAGCAAGTCAGTCGTCAGTTTGTACTGCCACAGAAGCATGAGATAATCCATGCCAGGCCATATCTGAACTTTACTTGAAACCTGTGCTAAATCTTCCTGGTTCATTTCAGTACACAATCGCTCTTCAGTACTTTTTTCATCAGTTAAAGGAATTTTCAGTTTCTTCATACGTGAACTCAGTAATTCCACTGACACACAGAGCTCCTCTGGAAATACAAATAATTTGTGACAATAAACTAAAATGTACACACAGAGGGCTAAGGGCCTATCACACCATATCCAGTGCGGTTCGAGCCCAGAACGCACTGGATCACATAGATCAAGCTGGACAGCGGTCTGGGGCATGTCGGCGCCATTCACGTCAATGGCACCACATACACCCCCCTGCCTGAAACGGAAAGCAAGGTGCAGGAATGCCCACCATTCCAGCGCACAGCAATTGGAAAAAATATTCCTGTACCTTGCGTTCTGGTACGGGCGATCCCACTGCAGGAAGGGGGCATGGCTGTGGTGCCATTGGCATGAATGGCACCGACACGCCTCCTCCCGCTGCCCGGCTTGATCAATGCGATCCAGTGCGTTCCAGGCTCCGAACGCACTGGATATGGTGTGACTGGACCCTAAGACAACATAAGTGTGACTTTCAGCCCTCATTCCTCCAGATATATACACATATGGTTTTCAGGAACTGCCACAGCCTGTCCAGCAAATAACCTCACCTGATATTTTCCTATATAATAACAAAGCAAGAATGCAAAAATCTAGGTGTCAGAAGGCCCATACAAAAGCAGCCATTTCCCATGTTGTATTCTAACCTAGGGCAGTATGAGGCACCCGAGCTGGGGAATAGTTGTTCCACTAAAAACCTAAAATCACAGAGGTGTTATTTCCTTATGACAGATTCCCCCTTAGAAAAATGCAAAGCTATAGGTGCTACCTATGTTACTTATTTAAGCAAAGCAAACCATTACCAGTGTCCACATTATCTTGATGATTTGCACGAAGGATAGATGTCCATTTTTGAAGTAATTTGAGTTTGGTTTCCCAGTCAGAGCAAGCTGCTTTTAATCTGCAGACATCATGCATCCAGTTGCTCTCTCCCTTAGCTGGTCTCAGATCTGCTACATTAAGGGAGGCGCTGAGAGCTTTCAGTTTTTCCATACACTGTACCACAGACTCCTCCTGTAAATGTTAAAGGTAAACAGTGCTTATGTATACATGACTCCTAAAAACATTTTGTTTTTATAGTGCCCATACACATGTGTGCCCAATACAGAAGTATACTTTAAAGTTAAAAATCTACTCAAAAATGTTGCAGTAATCAAAGTTAAGTCTTGCAAACAATATGTTGACATCAATAACACTTGGTCCATGCAATATTCTAATATTAGCAACTAAACAATTAGTGCATTGTTCACAAGTATTATTATATTATACATATTTACACTTCAAATCATTCTATGGATGTAATACCTTGAAAGGCAGAGGTCTGCCAAGGATTTTTTGAAGCAGCTTTACGCTGGCAGGCATCTGTGTGGATGAGAGACATTCTTGAATACTCACAGAGACAGACTGAACTTCCTGAGACAGCCTGGAAACAGAGAGATAAATAGTTTGCACAATGTGTACACAAGCTCATTAAAAATAACATGATTTTCCATAAAATACTTTTCATTGAGGGACACAGATTAAGCAAACCAGGGTTAAACTGTCACCTAAAGGAGAAATTGAAACTATGCACACAGAAAATGGAAGGCCAGCCCATTCAAGGCAACACTAACTTCCACCTGCTCTGTAGTAGAAAGTAGTGCTGTGGAAATTAACGATTAATTCCGCGACTAATCGTTAAAATGCTTTTGATCGCTAATGAAAACACTCCTCTCCGCCGCCTTCCGGGAGTCCGGTCGGAGATCCGGTGACGTCACGGACATCGACGTCACCGGCCTCCTCCCCCTTTCCCCAAGTGGCTCCGTCGGCTAAGGAAGGGAAGGGGGGAGGAGTCCGGTGACGTCGATGTCCTCCCCCCTTCCCTTCGTTAGCCGACGGAGCCACTTGGGCCGGTGAGTTTGCTCAAGAAACTTGTTCTGCCCCATCAATTTTTAAAGAGGTTATACTCACATGAAAAGGGAACATCCGTGTGCAGCCTGCCAACTGACGTTGAACCTTTCTTCTACAATCTTCCCAGCTGGTCAGTGTGCCCACAAGCAGTGGTGTGGGTGCCACCATTGGAGGGGTGACACTAAAATGACTCAGTCATTTTGGTGTTCCCCCCCCCCCCCCCCAACACCGCCCGCCGCGCGCTCGACCCCACCC